CTTTTTAAAGCTTCTTGCTCGAAGTTACTACCAATATATGCCTGAATCACTCTTGTTACTATTAATTCTATGCAGATAAGCAATAAATACACAGAAATAAAATAAATCTGAACATGATCAATGAAAAACAATCATCATTAATCCTATCAACTACTTCCAAAAAACCAAACAAACTTTTTTTGTTTGTATAACTTTTGGTTGCATATCGTTGAAATAATCGCTTCCATTGTTTTCTTCAGATACCGTTTCTAATTCTTCTTTCTTACGACGATACTCTTTAATTTTTTCTTCAACAGAAGTTACAAACACACTATCACCCCAGCCTTCCCAGTGTCCATTACCTGATGCTAAAACTTATCTTCATTACTTGAAAATACCACAACTCTACAGACTAATATGGCTAAGTTTATGTATTTAAAAATAACTTAAATACTATATATCATCTTAAATTACTAAATAAAGAATTAGGCATTTTAAAAGCCTATTCATACAGCACAAATTTTTTTTTTCTTCAAACCTTAAAAAAAAGATACTTAAGTAATTTATATTTACCCACTCATTTTCACAACTTTATCATAAACACCTTTTTCCGAAAATGTCTGAGGACTTTGATGAACAATTGTATATGGCAATTCCCCAATATTTTTCTTTCGTTTGAAACAACAAAGTAACCTGCGAAGTATAGCACCAATTAATCGAAATAAGAATAAAGCCCGCTTCATAACCACTCGAATTAATGACATTACATCACATTTTTCTAACATAAAACAAAACACCTGAAGTGAACGAAAATTTGAAAACAAAAACAAATATGAAGTGAATACTAGATTGAAGAAACCAATATTAAGGTCTAAAGAAAGCCTCGTATAACATCATGAAGTCCTCTTATCCACCAAACCATACGCCCCATTGACTCAATAAACTTTCAAAAATAAACTTTGCCAGTGCAATTGATTGACCCTCAATCTCAAAATATTCATCATTGTTAACTCAGTACAATTGCATGGCAATATTTAGAGTGAAAAAAAAATTTATTTGTAAATGTAACTAAACCTTACAGTCAAAGACAATAGAAAAAAAGTGAACAAAAGAAAGTACTGTACCCGCTTGAAGCAAGCAGTATATGACAAAATTCAGAAAATAAAATAGCAAGATCAAAAAATCAATAAAATTACAAGAAAATAATGCATAAATACAACACCCGTAAGGAATTGAATGAGTTTCTGTTTACTCAAATGTAAACAGAAACTCACAATGACCGATCTTAATAATAATAAATATATAAATGTCTGAGAAACAATCCTAAATAAATGCAAATGAAATCAACTTAAATTAAACAGCATCACCATACTGCCGTTCCAAAATGTTTAATTCTAGCAAAAATTTCATTGCATCACGTTGACCCATGTCATAATAATTTTTTAGAATTTTGATATCTGGAGGAAACAGTGCTTGCGCTCCTCGCACCATGTTCTGCACATTAACCTAAATTAGTAGATTATATATATTTAAAATGAAGTATACGAATTAAAAAATTAGTTATTTTCAGATACAACACAAATTATACAAGTAAATTCAGAAGCTCAATAGAATTTGGAAGTCAATTAACAAACATTTTTCACATATTACGAAACGAAAAATATACTGTCAATATTTTAAAAAAAGAATGAGAAACGCACAAAACGAATAAGATTAAAAATTGAACTCTTATTGAAGATACTGAAAATAACTGGCAAAGCTCATCACAGCTTCAATATTTTGTTTCAAATATTCTGCTCAACAAAGCTTCAATATTTATTACAATTAAAGAACTGACAAATTAGTTCATAAGTAAAGCTTACAGCTCCGAACCTTTAATTCTTGGCGACCAATTCGTAATCGCCATTCACGAATTGGGTTTATCAAATTATGATCATTTGGAGCAATAACTGCACTCCCACTAAATGGAGAAATGGTAACAGTATGCATATCTTCAAAAATCGGCAAATTGTTCGTAAATCCCCCATCAATATATTGCTAAAGTAAACTCCAAGATAAAATCCAAACTTCAGATATGAATCATTTTTCAATAATGATCCAAAATAAACTATAAAACAATAAAGCAACAAATTATATATTTGTCCTTCTGAAATACTATTGCTATGATAAAGAATTATTCAGACTTAAATAAACTACTTACTTCTCCATCGATACAAGGGGGGTTTGATCCAGAATAAAATGGTATATAACAGCTAGCTAACAAACATTCAATTAAATAATCTCTTGATGGGAACTCCGAAATTATCCGATTAACATTATTCTGCAAAATGAATCATTTAACCATATATGCAAAACCAATTCATTTCTTTAAATAGCCACTATTTTCAATAACAAATTGAATTCGTTGAACTCAAATTACAAACATTTATTTTAGAACTGGCAAATATCACTGACTTTAGAATAAATAATTTCAACCAACAAGCTACTATAATTCATACAACTTAAAAAAAGGAAAATAGTGCAATGGACGAGTGTAGAAACTCAAGGAAATAGAAGAATTATAGTCATATATTCAGAATAATATGAATGTTCTCAGACAGAAGCAATAATACAGTCTCAACAAAAAGTTCACCTTCTGATTAGTGAGAGATATGAAGAGCCTTCCTTGAGCCATGGAAACATCATCAGGGATATACAAGTCAACAACTTTACGCAACCTCTCATCAAAAACAAAACTTGAAGACAATACTCCAAATCGTAATTCATGAACTTCCTTTGCCATTTTAATCAGATCATTGAAACCTTTCTTGAAAATGATCACTTTATGAACATGCAAAAGATGCCAGTAATTATTTGCCTCATTCAAATTGTTTTAAGATAACAAATGTCGAGAATTTCAAAACAACCTAATAAATTAAATTAAAACGTTAAGATTTAAGTGGTACGTTTGGCCAAGTATTTTTATCTTCAAAATACCCAACAATAATAGTAAAAATGCATTTACAAAACAATGATATTGAAAGTTTTCGAAGTGCAATTTTCGCTCGAACAGACTGAAAACCTGATGTAATTTAAAGCTTCTGCTTAAACGTGCTTGTCATATAAAATTATGCAATCTATTCTAAAACAATAAACTTATTAGTAGTAAACATAATTTCCTGTAAACTTAAATACAGCTATTTAAATAACCTCTGTGTCGTCAGGTCGGAAAGTCCAAAGTGCAGCTACAAGAGAACCAGCAGACGCACCTGCACAACGTTTTACGCGTGTCATCAATGTCTATAAATTTTTATTGTTTAAGCTAATCTTCCCTTACTCTGAAAAACTAAAAACTTTAACCCAAACTTCCATTATCATTGAGTAATAGTGCAACACAAAGACAATAAATTCCTTCTAATAAATAAACCTTTCCACTGCGATTTAATCCATGCAGAACTCCAAAGTGATATACTCCTAAAAATCCACATCCACTGAAAGAAAGTGCTAAATCTCCCTCGCCTGAAAATTTTGAGAAATAAATAGAAGACAACAGATGGAATAAAATAGCTTTCAGTCTTTGATGATTATATCTAAAACTAAGTCACGAAACAAATATGAATTTTTAATTTAAATGTCTATAAGCCTACTTCTCAGTACCTTATCATTATCATATCTAGAAAACAAGATTAAGAGTACAAACCAAAAGCATTTACTGCATTCGTCATTATTGTTTCTTTTTTTTTCCAACAACATAAAATCGGCAGAAACTGCTTGAATCTTTCGAAAACAGTATGCTTTTGCCGCGGAAACCTGAAAAAATGCTCTAATAAAAGCATCCGTCTTTGATAACAACTGATAATTTTAGTCATGAACACGTCTACAAATTATTATCATAACATTTCTCACAATTAAACAAAACTATTAGAAACAAGTGAATTATGATATTACAATTCTTGAAATATACATTATTTTAAATACTTCATTTACATCAACTATGCTAATAAGATGTATGCCGCATCAATGAATTATTAAATCAGATTAATTAATAATATTAGATAAAATGGATTAGTATTTATATCAGATGCCTAATTTCAAACCATTACTTTCCTTTTACAAACAGAATCTAACTATGGAGTTTATGAATGTCATACAAAACCAATAAGCTTATAAATACACTAAGCAAGTAAACAGTGCAAAAAATATATCTGACTACTCTTTTAGCAGAGAACAACAATGATCCTTCTAAAATATTAATCACAGATTCTGAAAAAATCTGAAAATGAAATAAAAAACAGAACAATTTACATCTTCGACTCATCGTTACACTCAGCAGTATCACAGTTTTGATTCCATTTGTCATGAAAAGCTGAATTTAAACCACGTTTTACTCCTACATCTTTGATATTCACTTCTGTCACGGAGTTTGCCCTAAAAATTTCTACAGTTCCACACGTAAATCAAATGAGTTTGAAGTAATCAAATAAAAATTCGGATTTTAAGAACATATTCTTTATATTTCACATCAGTAAAAACGCTATAGGAA